AACTAGATATGCCCTAAATGTACTAATCTTATTATATTTTTTTCATGTTATTTTATCATGGATAAATAGTTTAATTTCCTTTTTCATTATAATTTTAAATTTACATTGAATTGTATCCTAATCATATTTGCATATATTGACTACTTTCTTATTTCACGGTTAAAATGTTAGCTATATGCAGCTATTTTCTTTCATAATACATACACTTTGATTTCTCCTGTTATATAAACAATACTGAACAAATATTTTATTTATTTTCAGAGAATGTGTGATGTATTTATTTTTTTAGGGCGCCCAGCAACTAAATCATTAAAAACATCATAAACAACCTGTTCCTCTTAAAGTCCCTTAAAATCCCTCTCTTCAGCATAGTCTGTGGACTTCCATAGTAACTGCCATTACTCTCTTAACTGAATTAGAGAGGCCATTTCCCACTTCACTCTCACCTTCCAATTCTGCTACTCTTCCACTCTGTCACTTGGTTCCATTATATTGTGTTTTATACCCCACCTCACTTAGACTATAAGCTTGTTTGAGCAGGCTCCTGATCAACCTATTGTTCCTGTAACATTTTGTAATTGTCTCATTTACTATAAAATTTCCCCTTTTTTTAAATAATGTTGTAAAGCGCTGCAGAATAAATTGGCCCTATATAAATACTGTTAATAATAATTATATACCTATATTTTCTCTTTCTTTATACTGGTATATTACCTTTTTGAAGCAGGTATGCAGTGCCATAAAGGTAACTACAAATATCTGCATATTAATATTGCCAAACCTTTCGATAACAATTTATGTAAATTAAACCACTCCATCCAAATGAGTAGAGTCTAACTTCAATTATTCATATATTCAAATTCTAAGAAAGGTTTTATTCAACTACAGGGATAACAAAATCCTAAGTGAAAACTACCCAAGCTAAACAATTTAACAAAGAATAAAATGTATTAAAAAATGTTTTCAAATATGCACTCCTTGATCAAACCCTTTAGAGTCTCTTCCTCGTGAGTATATTACATTAATAAGAATATATTTTCAGAATATGGTGCACATTTACTCAGTGGTCTCTTTTACCTTTTTTATTTTTATTTTTTTACATTTTTATTATATATGTCATACATAGCAATGCTGAGTGCAACACAGTGTTATATGTTTCCATGAGCAAAGGTAACCGTTCTGCTACGAAAGACAATCCTGAGTAATTTTAAGAGCATTTGCATTAATTACTGGTTTCTAGGAGGTTATACGTGAACATATATCTAATGCCAAGTCTTGAAGCCCTGAGATAAATTTTACCTCTTGAATATTGCTTTAGGCTCAGATAAATGAATTAGTCCGTCACACATGATCACTGATGTCAAGAACTTGTCTATGAATTCTTTTTTGAGGTTTATTGTGGTCAGTAATGTCTGTGCAAAGAGTACTTGTATTAGTACTTGAGAATCTCCATGGTTCAGCGGTCATTGTAACCATAATAGATCCTTGATCCTCCATAGGGTCAGGCATCAAAGCAATGGCATCCTCCAAAATATCTGTCATCATTATGCATTAGGATATAACACTCACAACTCATCATACTTTATGTGTGTGAAATTTAAATAAAACGCAATTATGTTTGAAAATATGTTCCTTTTTCAATTTTTTTCAATTGAGTGTAAAGCTTACATCAATGCTGCTTTCATATTTGTTCTTTGCCCTGGTATAGAATATTGAAACCCAGATATAGGGATTTGGGCATTTGGAATAAAATTAGTGTATATAAAAGGCGCTTTAAAAAACAAACAATTATTCAATATCTCTATAGTCAAATTTTTAGCCGCTAACCACTACCTTGTGTGAACCTTAAAACACTAAAAACCACGCAAAACAGTGGTATTGTAGTAAAGTGCTTAAAACATTAAAAAGACAAGTCCATCAGCATACAAACAGAAGTGCAAAATTATGTTAAGACCGTGTCAGCTAACCGTGTGATAGAAACAACTTTATATGTATCCTTGATAAATAAATCCAAAAACTGTGTAGATATATGTTATACGTATCTATTAAAGTGCTTAGTGTATATTTAACTAGATTCTTGTGCAAGACAGCAAATATAATTTTCAGACTTTCCAAACGTGATTAAGGTGCCTATAACCAATAAAATGTTAGTGTCAGTATCATACTTAGAGATACTCAGTAGCAGCTACCAGTCCTCTGTATGGAGAGTATCTCAAAATTACAAAAACAGAGATCACAGAACAATAATGAAGACTGTTTACAGAAATGTATGGAATATCCCCAAATCGAAGCCTTTGGACCTCCATTCACATTTACTAGAGCCTTACGCTTGGCTCTAGTTTATGTGCCTCTAAGTCCCTCTTATGGGGGGACTCCTTCCCTCTGTGGTATGTTGCTCACATTCTCCAGGGATAAGACAGATGGAACAACCTCCAGGAATAGAACAGATAAAAAAAAAAACACACAATCTAATGTAGTATGTCATAACAGCTTGACAGAATGTAGAAATTTACAAATATAAACGAACGTGTGTGGGCATTTGGACCTAATTTATGGTGGTAAGTTAAAATATAGAAGTCCACAGGCATCAAAACGTAGGGTAAAGACAGAAACTAGTATTTATTGTGGATCAGAGAGGTCGAAAAAGGATAAGAACATTTCAGCCATGAGGCCTTGATTTAAATTTCAAACATAATTGTGTTTTATGTATAAACATGATTAAGGCCTCACGGCCGAAAGGTTGTATGCTTTTCTTGCCCTTCTTGATCCACAATAAATACTAGTTTTTGTCTTCACCCTATATAGATGATTATGGCCTCACAGCTGAAACATTGTATTCTTTTTATACTTCCTTGATCCACAATGAATACTAGTTTTTGTTTTCACCCCACACTGTGACACCTTTGGACTTATATATTTTATTGTTCCTGGTGGGCGGCGGACCACCCTATTGACAGAGCTCCATCTCCATCTACTTGTGTGCAGCACTCCCTGGACTTTATGCATTTATGGTGGGAAGTTGCTTAGAGAACATCTAAAATGTTTTGCCTTTTTTCTCCATTTTGTACTTACAAATACATTCAAGTATGTTTTTTTCAAGAAGGCACACATTTTACACTTACTTATCTTACATATATACACTTTTACATCTTCTGCAAATGTTTATGCATCATAAATAAAAATTAAGCCACAATAGCCAAACTAGAAAAGTATCTAAGTCAGCTATGTTTACAGTTTAACTATTTTGGTCTAACATTTGAAATTCACTTCGACTTCACTTTGGATTGCCACCAATTCCAGTTTGGTGAATAGAGCTTCTAGTTTCACATTACTCATTCATTATCAGTCTGTCTCTCTTTTCTCTCTACACATTTAAGTGGCACAGAGCGGGGCAATTTTAAAAGGTAATCATAATTTCAATCTAAGCATTAGAAAAAACTTTTTTTAAAGTTTGAGTTAGGGAAATGCCAATAATGCAAAGAAAGAAATTAACAAAATTATTTCTATCTGATATTTTGTTTAAATGTTGTCATTTGTCATCGGTTAGCTGTTTGATTCATAAATTACTGCTAGTGAAATTATTCATTAACACCTACTTTCTTATTTTTTTGTGTGTATTGATATACGAAACTAAATGCCTCACACAATAGATTTGCTAAATGAGAAACATGGGCGGTATGAGTATTTTTTCACCACCTACCAAGTTTAAAGTTAAGCCATATTTCCTTCTTCTCTTTATTTTATAGTTTGGATATCCTGTTAGTTAACTGGTATATTTAAAGAACCTAAAACTGTACTTGAAGATTTAGAGATAATTTGTTTTCACGTGAAATGGTAAATGAATTCGGAAAAATACTTTATACCTTGACCTTGGCTGTTCTGCAGACAACTCTACAGTAAAATTGAATATTTTGTTCCGAACCAAACTGCAATTCGGATGAATTTGGGCCAAACAAGTTATCAGAACAGATTCAAAATCTGAGCTGCCATGTGGCAAAATCACAGGGGAACCAACTCATGCAAGCCCAAACATACTCGTTTTCATTTGTTATTCCGAGTGTGGTTTCTGGCACCAGAATTTTTTTTAGATAAAATGGAGAAAAGACTGAGATGGTGGGTTTGGGTGGGAGCAAATAATCAGTTCAGTTTCTCATGTTGGACAAGAGGTCTGCTTAATCTTGTGGGCTGGATCGACTTTCCAATCAAGAGGTAGGAAAAAAATTATTGTTGGTTAAGAAGCAGATACAAAATGTTAATTTAATTCACTGATCAAGTGAAGAGTAGTTTATGCACACATAGACTGTATCAAAAATGTTTCAGGTCCAAATCAGTCTTTCTCAAGCCTTCTTAAAAAGTTTCTGACTGAGAACCAATGTAAAAACTTAAACGTTCCATGTCATCTCTTTCTTTATGTGCCATATGAATGTGCAATGTAGCCTTCCCAGTCTGTGAGGCACAACAGGACTGATCCTCTTTGGAATTTAGTGTGTGCAGTTTAGTGTTTTTTATTGAAAACCAGATGAAGTTAGGTGACCAACAGAGGTAAAAAAGGGAGGAGAAATAAAACAACTATACTCCTAAGAGATTTTCACTTGGCAGGCATTTTGCCATTGATTCTGATAGATTCTTATTTAAATAAAGAAAACGCTTGACATGCGTTTCGGCATGTCTACACGTCGTAGCTCCTGATTACGGCGTGTAGTTACTGCCTAGATTAGGGTACCTCTGTGCATTTAGAGCTACACTTTGGGATCCCCTTGTTACAAATGTTTCCTTTTTTTGTATATGATTATTTCTGGGTTACCCCCTATTTTATAGCTCTTTGTTAGGCTTCCTTTAGGTTTGATCTGATATTTTCAGACAGATGAAATAGAAAACCAGAAATCAGAATAGTCACACTATTGGGACACTAGGAACAACAACAGGGAACAGAGGTATGTACAAGGTGCCCTTTGTATGTTGGGGGTTTTGCGATAGGCACAATTCCAAAACATAAGATGATGGTGAAACGTATGATGCCAGCACGCGAGCTCCGTGTCATAAAAGTAGTCAGAAAGAAGCGGGCAGCGTCAGGGAGGCTATCCGATACCTCCGAAGATTGCAAGAAGGCCATCTGGCGGATTGGGCAGCCATGTGATTGGCAGACTTCCAAGGTAAGTACAGGAGCCGTTACATTGTGCAAGTCTGTGAGCATTGTGCAGTGTTTGTTAACATCAATCACTATAACGTTACAGCAATAAATCCACAAAGCACTAACCCATTATGCAACACAAACATGTACACCTCTTTCTCGACCACGTGGACTGCTGACACCTCTGCCACTTCTGCTTTCACCACCACTACAGTGCCACCACTAGTAGTATTCAGCCCCTGGGTAGTGGGATTAGCAGCATCTACATTAGGTCTGATTCAACACCCAGGGTTTTTTTTATTTACGATCCTTTATGAAGATTAGTGATGTACCGAACGGTTCGCCGGCGAACGGTTCCTGGCGAACATAGCATGTTCGCGTTCGCCACGGCGGGCGAACATATGCGCGGTTCGACCCGCCCCCTATTCGTCATCATTGAGTAAACTTTGACCCTGTACCTCACAGTCAGCAGACACATTCCAGCCAATTAGCAGCACAGCCTCCCTAGCAGACCCTCCCACCTACTGGACAGCATCCATTTTAGATTCATTCTCAAGCTGCATGCTTAGTAAGAGGAGGGAAAGTGTAGCTGCTGTTCATAAGATAGGGAAAAGCATAGCTAGGTTAGGGATAAGGGTATGCTTTTTTTGGATTTTTTTTTTCTATGTAATGTAAATGCACTTAGTTGTCTGCCACTGCTGCCAGCTTCTGTGTCAGGCTCACAGTGCCCATTTCCCCAGTCAGTGCCACCAATTACATCTGGTGTCACAATAGCTTGGATTTAAAAACAAAAAACTTTTTCACTGTTATAGATTGAATAGCAGTCAGTTGTCTGCCACTGCTGCCAGCTTCTGTGTCAGGCTCACAGTGCATACTGTGCCCATTTCCCCAGTCAGTGCCACCAAGTACATCTGGTGTCACAATAGCTTGGATTTAAAAACAAAAAACTTTTTTCACTGTTATAGATTGAATAGCAGTCAGTTGTCTGCCACTGCTGCCAGCTACTGTGTCAGGCTCACAGTGCATACTGTGCCCATTTCCCCAGTCAGTGCCACCAATTACATCTGGTGTCACAATAGCTTGGATTTAAAAACAAAAAACTTTTTTCACTGTTATAGATTGAATAGCAGTCAGTGTCCTTAAAGCGGGTGTGTTACGCTAACAGTGGATACGCTGACAAGTGCACTAATTAGATCTGGTGTCACAATAGTTTGGATTTAAAAAAAAAATAATCTTTTTTCACTGTTATAGATTGAATAGCAGTCAGTGTCCTTAAAGCGGGTGTGTTAAGCTAACAGTGGATACGCTGACAAGTGCCACTAATTAGATCTGGTGTCACAATGGCTTGGATTTAAAAACAAAAAACTTTTTTTACTGTTATAGATTGAATAGCAGTCAGTGTCCTTAAAGCGGGTGTGTTACGCTAACAGTGGATACGCTGACAAGTGCCACTAATTAGATCTGGTGTCACAATAGTTTGGATTTAAAAAACAAAAAACTTTTTTTCACTGTTATAGATTGAATAGCGGTCAGTGTCCTTAAAGCGGGTGTGTTACGCTAACAGTGGATACGCTGACAAGTGCCACTAATTAGATCTGGTGTCACAATAGTTTGGATTTAAAAACAAAAAACTTTTTTTGCTGTTATAGATTGAATAGCAGTCAGTGTCCTTAAAGCGGGTGTGTTACGCTAACAGTGGATACGCTGACAAGTGCCACTAATTAGATCTGGTGTCACAATAGTTTGGATTTAAAAAACAAAAAACTTTTTTCCACTGTTATAGATTGAATAGCAGTCAGTGTCCTTAAAGCGGGTGTGTTACGCTAACAGTGGATACGCTGACAAGTGCCACTAATTAGATCCTGTGTCACAATAGCTTGGATTTAAAAACAAAAAACTTTTTTTACTGTTATAGATTGAATAGCAGTCAGTGTCCTTAAGCGGGTGTGTTACGCTAACAGTGGATACGCTGACAAGTGCCACTAATTAGATCCTGTGTCACAATAGCTTGGATTTAAAAACAAAAAACTTTTTTTACTGTTATAGGGTGGATAGCAGTCAGTGTCCTTAAAGCGGGTGTATTGCGCTAACAGTGGATCGTGACAAGTGCCACTAATTAGATGAATTGTCACAATGGTTTTGGATTTAAAACAAAAACTTTTTACTGTTATGATTGAATAGCAGTCAGTGTCGCTTAAAAGCGGTGTGTTCGCTAACAGTGGATCACGTGACAAGTGCCATATTAGATCCTGTGTCACAATAGCTTGGATTTAAAAACAAAAAACTTTTTTTACTGTTATAGATTGAATAGCAGTCAGTGTCCTTAAAGCGGGTGTGTTACGCTAACAGTGGATACGCTGACAAGTGCCACTAATTGAATCTGGTGTCACAATAGTTTGGATTTAAAAAATAATCTTTTCTCACTGTTATAGATTGAATAGCAGTCAGTGTCCTTAAAGCGGGTGTGTTACGCTAACAGTGGATACGCTGACAAGTGCCACCAATTAGATCTGGTGTCACAATGGTTGGATTTAAAAAAACAAAAAACTTTTTTCACTGTTATAGATTGAATAGCAGTCAGTGTCCTTAAAGCGGGTGTGTTACGCTAACAGTGGATACGCTGTAAAGTGCCACTAATTAGATCTGGTGTCACAATAGCTTGGATTTAAAAACAAAAAACTTTTTTTACTGTTATAGATTGAATAGCAGTCAGTGTCCTTAA